AGTGCTTCCAGGCCGGGGTTTCGGGCGCCTCTCGCAGGCCGGGCTCTAGGGAGAGCCTCGGCGATCCTCGCCACTCCAGGGTGCTGTGACCTTCGGCAAGAGACTTACTTGAACCCTGATTTTTTCTCTGTGAAATGGAGATCGTAACAGTGCTTGCCTCACAGGGCTGTTGTAAGAGTATGGTGGGATATTCTGCCGCACCTCTTATCACATTTTAATGTTCATGCGAATCACTTGGAGGTCTGGGTTGGGGCCTGAATTCTGTGTTTCTAACCAGCTTCCAGGTGATGCTGGTGCCGCTGGCCTGCGGACTACACTTTGAACAGCAAGACCCTACAGGATTTTGCTTAGCATTTGGGACGGGGTCTTTAGTAAAAGTCAGTATGATATATATTTTTTCCTCATTTTTAGTAATTTCTGGTTACACAAGCCTAACTGAGGGTAGTATTGATGCACCCCTCCTTTTTTTTTTTTCCTCTCCAGGGATAAGAAATAATTGCTCTTTCTCTTTCTGTACAAATCATGACACAGCTCTTCTGTCCTGACCCAGGGAGTTTTGGGCCTCTCCCATACCAGCTACATTCATCAATCTCCTCAGGTAACACTTCATTGCTCACTCACTGTAGAACCTTGGATAGTGCTTCATCCTGTGGAGCGGATAGCCAATTAAGTGCTTTAGCACCAATTATGACTGGTATTTGGAACTCCAGTCATTTGTTGTCGCTGGAATATGAATTTATGTTTTTTACATTTTGGGCACACTTCGTGAGTAGTAAGAGCAACCGCCTTTCCAGAACTAGGTTCTGCAAAATCACTGCCCTGAATGACCCTAGGCAAGCCCTGGGATGGTTTGCTCCTGTCTGGTAGACCAAAATAAAATTTGAAGACTGCGTGCTGCATAATACAACTGAGAAAGTGAGGCCTTTGCCAGTTATGCAGGTCTAATATTTATTTGTCAGTATGTTTTTCTTCCTCATTCATTGGTATATTTTTCTGGTCCTCCACAAGGCCTTGTGACTAAATCAACTTTGATATAAAAGAATTCTGAAATTCCTCCTTCACTTGTTTGAAATACTATACTGTGCAGCTTTGCAAAGTGGAAAAGCAGATAAAACCAAGTGTTTGGTTGAGCTAACAGTGATAGGTACTTGAACCATTTATTTGGGAATTTTCTCTCATGCCTGTGAAGGTACTTCTCTTTACCTGCCTGGATTTTGTCATTCCTCTAGTAGTCCAATTTATATGGGCTGAGGGGACATGAATGTCTGTTCTCTGTTGTTTTACAAAGAGATTTTCTAAAGACAGGGTCTCATGAAACCCTTTAAAAGTAGTGGGTCTAACAGGATCATCTGTAGGGCTTTGTCAGACCCAAACCGTTCTTGCCATTTTTTTTTTTTTTTTTTAAAGATGACCGGTAAGGGGTGTTGTCAGCACCATGCTCTCCCAAGTGAGCAAACCAGCCATCCCTATATAGGGATCCAAACCCGTGGCCTTGGTGTTATCAGCACCACACTCTCCCAAGTGAGCAAACCAGCCATCCCTATATAGGGATCCAAACCCGTGGCCTTGGTGTTATCAGCACCACACTCTCCCAAGTGAGCCACGGGCCGGCCCCGTTCTTGCCATTTTGTTGGAGGAATAGCAGAGTTTTAGAAAGGGAGGGGAGAGCTAGATAAGCTGAAAAAGTTTCACAGATGTACTGTTTTCCTCCTGATAAGTGTGGAAACTAGAACAAAGAGGAGGAATGGGTTGCTAGACTTGATTTGGTT